TGGGCTTCTTTTTGCGACGAGGAAGTAGATTAGGACACTTTCCGTAATCAGCTTGACGAAGAGGTCTGGAACGAGGGATGGAGCGGAAACTGGTTTAGTTATTCCAACGGAAGTGCCGACGTTGAAATCGTCCCGGGGCCAGGGGGGAGCTGTGACCTTTCTTTGCTCGTGAACCGAGGGGCCGAGGTCAGGTACAAAGACCTGAAGGGGAAATAATAGAAGCAGTTCGATAAGTCTGATGAGAGCGAATGGAAGGCCATCGCGGAGGGCACTCGCGCCGTGATCGTTCACCCCCCCGAGCAAGCCAAAGAATTGAGACGTCTTTTTCCCATTAGGATTGTCTCCAGTAGGATTGTTAGGGGATGGAAACCCCAAGAGGGGACACACGCCCCCCCCAAGGCTAAATCTAGGTGGTGCGTGAGGTGTCACCAAGACGAGGACGCGAGCGAACTTCAGGTTTATGCCCCCACTCCGTGCATGGAGGCTTTGATGCTGTTCTTGGTGGTTTCCCTTATGTACAAGATGTGCATCTACATAGGAGATATTAAGAAAGCGTTCTGCCAGTCAGAACCACTCAAGAGGGCCGGGGGGAGGGTTTTTGCAGAGCCCTGCGAGGGGGTTCCTGTTCCTTCGGGGCCCCTCATTGAGCTGATCGCCCCGGTTTACGGTCTCGACGACGCCCCTCCTGAGTTTCACAAGACCGCCGCTAATTTTCTTAAGTCACGAGGTTTCGGGCGGACTCGTCTCGAACCGCGTTGGTTCGTGGAACGGGCCAAGCAGGCCCTCCAGGCCCAGGCCCTCGTTGAGGTGGACGATTGGGCCATCGCGTTCAGAGAAGGGTGCGAAGATAACCATCTGAAGCCGTTCCAAGCGAGGCTTACGTTTGGAAAAATGAAGAAGCTCGATGCCGCCGGTGTGGAGTATATAGGCAGGAGGCTGCGTCTGGACGGAGACAGGGTCCTGGTGGGCCAGGAAAAATACATTCTGGAACAGCCTCAGAAGATCCTCTTGCCCGAGGTCGGAGGGGGAATCACGAGGCCCCTCTTGTCGGCGGCGAGGTGGCCGCCTTCGGGTCGCTTGTGCATAAGCTGCAGTGGGTGGGCAGGGAGACCCGCGCCGAGGCCGCGGGCACGGCCTCGATTCTTGCCACCAAGGTCAACGGCCCTTCGGTCAAGGACCTGCTGGATGCTAGCAAGATGGTGGACCAGTTAAGGTCCACCGCATCTCTTCCCATAATAGTCTGGAGGTTTCGACCAGGCGGTTTTGTGCCGGCCACGGCCAGCGACTGCGGAGGCGCAGGGGCCGAGGATAAGAAGGGGGCCCCCCAGCACCCTCAAGAGGCCTGGCATATTTACATTGCCGATAATTCTTTAGCTCGCGGGCCCCGGGCCCGGGTGATCCCGATAGCATGGCGATCGGGAAAACTGCGTAGGCAGGTGGCGTCCACCCTGGCGGGGGAGACGTTGTCTCTCTCTCTCTCTCTCTCTCTCTCTCTCTCTCTCTCTCTCTCTCTCTCTCTCTCGAGTGCTTTAGGCGAGGCGGAGTGGCTGCAGATTTTGCTGCTCGACGTCACTCGCGGCAACGTTGTCCATGAGCGGTGGCGGGAGAACCTCGGCCCGTTCGCAAGTCTTCTTAAGGAGGACTGCGCCGTGCTTGGAGAGCCGGCGACCGGCAACGTCAGCGTCGTAGACGCGAAGGGGATCTATGACATTTTCCCGAAACTCACGTCGGGGACCAAGTCGGATAGGAGGGCCGCCATAGATCTAGCCGTCGTTAGAGAGACCATGGATCGGATAGGGGGCGCGATCAGATGGGCCCCACACCCCCATACGCCCGTGGACTGCCTCACCAAGGCCGATCTGGCCAAGACGAACGCCGCCCAACTTGCTGTGCTTAAGCCGGGTATGCTTAGGCTCAGATCCGAAGATGATTCCCTAAGAGATCGCAAGGACGACCCCCGGGTCAAGAACCGATCCAGAGCCGAGTCCAGGCGACAGCTGCAGTGATTTCTGCCCTCTGTCTCGCCTCTTTCCCCTCTCCCTTTTCCAGGCGCTGGCGTGGCAGAAGTTTATTTTCGCATAGTTTTGGAGCGCAGCTTTCCTGTCCAAGTGTTCTCGCTGTGCCGGTGACTGCCCCCTTTCTTCTTTGCGGGGGACACCAGGTGGCCAGAGTGTGTGTGATCGGACGCAGGAGTGTGGACTCTTGCTCAGTCAAACCGCTCTGCCTAGCCACGAGGACGGCGTCCAACATGCTGCTTTCTTTCGCCCACCAGCGCCAGCGCTGCTAGCATTAATCGTTTTAAGAACTCCAGATGGGTCATGGATGTTGCACCTCTGTTCAAGCCCACTATTTTTCGGGGGGCTGTGGGAATGGGCGCCTCCAGCTCATTGATTTGCAGTTGTGTCCTCCAACGTTTGCCTATGTGCTGGAACATACGGAGAGGGGTGCGATGTCCGTGCCCATTTTGGCTCAAGCCGTACGTCCCTCACAGCCCCTCTCTGTCAATCCCAGTCACCTTCCAATTCATCCTACCTTCCCTCCGATACCCTGGCTGGCAATCGCTGGTGGCCTGAGGGCATTGCTCGGACGGGCTCGAGAAAGAGGCAGCACCTCATCCTGAGTTGACATCGTGGGGAGACACATATCAAATTGAGGCAGCACGTGTTCGCTGTGAACACGATGAAAATCACATTGGAGCACACGTACTACGGCGCACATGGCGTCAGCAGTTGCAGTTGTTTCCTATTGCCCCCAGAACGCTTGACGGATATGGCTTCGAAGTGCCCACCAATGTTTGGTTTGCGCGCGGAGTTCCATGCGTTTCGAGGGCCACCGCCGCGTGCCCATGTTCGATGATATGTCGATATGCAGGGCATACAGGTTCGGCACCGCAGAGTATGCGCCGGGACTTGGAAGGTCTGATGCGACGCTTACCAAAGGAGCAACTCGTCGAGCGGAGTTTCTTCTTGCGGCGGAAGCGCCATTGCGAGTAAGTGAGGACACGTGGAGGGCGATGTTGTCGCACTGGCGACTTGGCGAGATCCTTGCGCACATGGAGCGCGCACCCGCGACGGCAGGGCAACAGTTTCTGGGCCATCAAGTGTCCGACGATGCTCTGAATCGGCAAAGGGGATTTCAGAACGTGCGGAACTCCTGCGGGAGAGAGCTCGGCTACGATGTTCAAGGGTAGTCATGGCAGTAGAGAGCGAGGAACATTTGAAATGTGAGCAGCGGTTGGCGCCAGTCACTCAACATGTGCGACGTCGGTTGCAGCATTTTGCTCGCGCCCGCCAGCAGGCCCTCAGCGAGGATATCGGGGAGGCGTAGGAGACAAAACACATGGCGGAAGCATGGACCGAAGCGTCAGGATGGTGGCCTGATTCGGGGAGGTCATTTAGTGCGGACGCGTTGGCTGCCCATTGATCTCAGCTAGGATGCCAAGGGTGGGGTCGGCGGCTACAGTCATCCCGAACTTCCACGAGTGGCTGGAGTTAGTACCCGCAGGGCCCAGACCGAACATCGGGACGGAGGATTGCGCACCGGCAGGTATGGACAGCAAACTTGTGATCACACATGTTTGTTCGGCCACGCAGCGTCGAGCAGCGCTGGCGGGCACAACGCCCGCTGGTGCGCGGCTTCTTTGTCTGCGCCCAGACGCGAATGTCAGCCAGGCCAGGCAGGGACTGGGCTTCGAGCGGGATGCTCAGGAGATGCACCTGTTTGAGGAAATTCTGGAGAGGGGGGGCTCAGGCCCCCCAGGGCCACGAATTGCACGCCGTTGAGATGGCGCTGTAGTTTGGGGGTCCAGTCGATGACATATGCAAAGCCAGGGCCCTTGGGGCGACGGACAGATCGCGTTTCCCCGACAATGGGGAACATGTGTTCTGTGGATCTTCTGCGCGTGCTTCCGATGGCGACCACGTTTTGTCGCGGGGGGGGGCCTTTTTAGCAGTTCAGCTTATGTGTTGCCGCCTCTGTCGAGCTGGTCACAGCTTTGCGCGTGCGTTACAGGACACGACGGATACATTCACGCGCGGGTCTTTGGGACGAGCTCACCAAAGCAGAGGAATCACAGTCGGCCCCCGAACTCCTTGATTGCGTATACAATGGTTCCAACATCCCGCCATGCGGTTGGAGTCTCTGGAGGGAGAGGGCTGCTTGAAGTCGAGCGAGGGAGGCGCGACTACATCCCCAGGCACCTTTTCCTGGGCCAGTAATGCAGCAATGCAGCGGTTTCGGTGCAATCGTAAGATCGGCCCCTCGCCGTGCAAGCCGAATGCGCATTGGAGAAGGATTCAGAGCGGACGCCGGTACGACTTTATGCGCCGACGACACGCCTTTTCAGCGGGAAATTACCGACTGGTTCTTCGGGGGCCGACGAGGCCATCGGAGGAGTTGCAGGAGCTCGGTTACGCCAAGACTGTCTCAAAGCAGGATTTTCAAATGTTTCCAGGACCGGGCGCGGGGGGCGGGTCGACTGAAATTATCCACTGAATTTCAGGATGACGTACGTTGCCTGAACCCTCGAATAAATCTGCAGCAATCCGTTGTTGAAGTTCGTCGCCAGATTCAGGCCACAGCTGAGGCGCACAGTTCACTTGGCAACGTCTGGAGCTTGCCTGTTCCATTCCGCTGGGGGGCGGATGCAATTCTTGATTCCCGCCCAGAGCGCGGCGTTGTCGGATATGGATCCAACGTGGGCAGAGCGGCGATCCCCAAGGAGGAGGAGGAGGGGAGGATTCGAACTCTTTCGAATTATCGGGTTCTGCAGCATCGGCACCTGGCAAATTCCACCGCGGAGCTCCTGGTCCGAAGGATCAAGGACCGCCGTGGAAGGTTTGGCGGCATCCACCTTCGCCCCCCTGATCTTTCCCCCTCAGCCAGGCAGTTGGGCTGGCACGCGTTGGGCAGCAGGAGACGAACCCCTACGGGCCTGAGTCTGATCCTGATTATCTTCTTCCTCCTGGTTCCTCCCTGCCCCCCCTCCCTGCAAACCCAAGGCAAGACCTGCGCGGCCCAACACCTCGCCGCCGCGGGCGCCGTGTGCGGGGCCGCCATTTCCGCGGGGCGCTCCCGCCGCCGGGGCTGCGGGCGGCCGCGGGTGGCGCTTGCGGAAGGATCCCGTAACGCAGTCGCACGGGGTCTTTGGGGGATGGCCCTTCCTCCCCCTCCTTCTTCTTCCTTTTCCCTTTTCCTGCCTCAGCTCCTTCTCCTCGTATGTAGCTCCTCCCTGGCGCATCCCGGGGAGTGTCGGGATTTCGGGCCGGGCGCTTCGCCCGAGGTTTCTTCACCGTTCATGGTCCTTGGACGGCATTTTGCAAAAGGCGTTGTGTATGGAGGGAGGGCCGTCTTCAAAATGTGGTTTTCGCTTGAACACCTCACGCATTGTTATATACAGTTGTGTCTATATAGCTATACACACATACATACATGCATACATACATCCATACATGCCTATATTCATATACATACATGCACCGTTCCGTCAATGTCTATATGTGTATACATGTGTGTGTATGTGCAAGACCCGCACGGATGGAGGGCGGGATGTGTTCAACATAGGTTGTTTGCCTCAGCGTTGCGCACATTCGCTTTGAACGTGCCCAAGAGTTTCACGGATGGGGGGCCAGCGCTGTTTCCAAGTGAGGTTTTCACCTTGAACCTTGCGCGACCCAAATTAGGGGAACGTCTCTTAAGTGGCGTTGTTTAGAATTGTTTGACATTGCATTGTGTTGCGTCGCAGTGTATCGCATTGCTTGACATTAGTTTGCATTGGTTGGTGTTGCTTGTCATTGCTTGACATTGCTTGGCATGGTTTTGCATTGCTTGGTGTTTCTTGGCATTGGTTTGCATCGCTTGGCATTGCTGGGCATTGCTTGGCGCTGCTTGGCGTTGCATCATTACTTATCGTTGCTTTGCATTGCTTGGCGTTGCCTGGCACTGCTTGGCGTTGCTTGGCATCGCTCGGCATTGCTTGGCGTTGTTTTTCACGACTTGGCGATGCTTGGCGTTTCTTGTGATGTTTTGACATGATTCGGCATTGCTTGGCTTTGTTTGGCGTTGCTTGGCATTGCTTGGCGTTGCTCGGCGTTGTTTGGCGTTGCTTGGCGTTGTTTTTCAGTGTTTTGATCTGCTGGGCGTTGCTGGACGTTGCCTGGCGTTGCCTGGCACTAGCGGGGAACAAGACACACAACCAAAGCGGGGATCCCGAGGAACCTCCGAGGAGCGGGCAACGTAACAACAGGAGGCACCGGGGGCGGGTTACTCGGGGAGCCCGAGGAACCTCCAGGAAGCGGGCAACGTAACAAGAGGCATCGGGGGCGGAGACCCCGAGGAAAACGAGGAACCCGAGGATCCTCCAGGAAGCGGGCAACGAAACAATAGAAGGCGTCGGGGGCGGAGAACCCGAGGACCGAGGAACCTCCGATGAATAGGCAAAGTAACAATAGGAGGCAGGGACAAATCATATAGAAATCAAAGAAACTGGTCTTTTGATCGTTCCCCCTATTTTTTTAGGAATCGCCATGCTGCGCTAGGAGGCATCAACTTCTAACCAAGTAGGAACCCCTTCGGCAAGCCTAGTTGGGGAATGTTGCACGAGCTTCACGGATGGACGGCGGTGCCTCTTCGAAATGTGGTTCGAGCCGTAGCGCCGCGTGCATTTGCTTTCAACATGTGCGAATATGAGGAGGTCGCAAACATGGAGTGAAGGGGGCGTGGATTAGCGACGGGTCCCGTTTCCATGGGAAATCGCGGATTGTCGCCGCCGAGCGAGGCGGCACGGGCCGCATTTTGGGGAGGGTACCTCCCCCGATCCACGGATTTGGCGACCGCGCGCCACATCCATGGATCGCTAATCCATGTTTGCACGCCCCCGAAAATGATTCACGGATGGACGGCGGGCCGGTTTCAAAATGTGGTTCTCGCCGTAGCGCCATTTTCCGAAGTGCGTAACAGGTTCAAGTGCTTTCGGGGTGCACGTGCCAACAAATGGTGTTTTGGCACGATGTCGGACTGTCGGCGCGACAGGAGCGTCGATCCGCGGCGTTGAAGTCCCAGGAATGGTGTCCTGGCACGAGACGCAGCAGTAATGTCGAGACTGCGGCGTTGAATGAGGAATTGCACAGTTCGAGATGTTTAACCGTTGTCTTCCAACGGGGCAGTCTTCTCAGTGCAAGACCATGTATGGGCTTATGAAGAGAGAACTTGGAGCCTCCTCCTCCCCCTCCTCCGTCCTCTACCTCCCTCCTCTCTCCTTCCTCCCTCCTTCTCCCTCCTCCCTTCTCCTCCTCCCTCCTCCTCCTCCCTCGTCCTCTACCCTCCCACTTCCTCCCTCCCTTCCCCTCCCTCCATCCTCCCTCCTTCTCCCCCCTCCTGGGCTGCCGCAGACGGGGGGGGGCAGCAGCCTTGAGCTCACGCCTCGACGACCTTGTGACGAGGGGCACGCCGCCGTGACGCTGGCGGATCATGCGGGAAGCGGGCCCAGACATGATCGAATCGTAAAAAAATCAGGGCGGCAAGTTTTTCGCCGTTTTTCGGCCCCGGGGGGCCCTCGCCAGGCCCGGGGGGCCGACAAAAAACGACTCGGGACGAAAAGCCGGTCCTGGGGATCGGGGCGGGACTTCCGGGGATGCCGTCTTGGAAACATCAGGACGCCGCATGTCTGGGGGTCCCGTGCGCGGCGCCACTCGGGCTCCGGGGGCCCTCCCTGGGCCCTGGGATCGGACGTCGTGCACCGGGCGGGTGGCAATGGGGGGGTGACCCACATGGGTCACACCAGGGCTGGCCCTAAACGGTGTTCTGGCGAAGTCGTGGGCCGTTTTCGTTTCGGCTTCGTTTTGCGGGAAAGGCGGACTGAAGACAAGACGAGGGAGAACGGAAACACAACGAAGGCGAACAACACCGCTTAGGTTCAGCCCTGGGTCACACCCCACTACCACCCGCCCGAGAGTGAGCGCTGTTTCTCCGTCGCCGCCCTCGGGCTCCCGGGGCCCCCCTCGGGCCCCGGGATCTGACGCCGAGTAGGGGGGGTACGACCGCTGTCAGGGGAGGCCACGGTGCAGTGGGGCGCGCATCAAGAAACTACTTCCTTTTCGCCAGGGTACCCTGGGTTTCTTCGCTCCGCGCGCTGCGCGGTGACTTTCCGCAGCCGGTGAAGAAGCTGCTGCGTTCAGGGTGCTCTGGGTTTCCCCTCAGGTGCACCTCGCGCGCGGGTTTTCAGGGTTGGGTTTCTTGCGACGGTTTTTTTGCGGCCGCGCCCGCACTGTATCGATATTGCTACCCTTCCCTCGTTTTCCCATTTCTGGGCTTTCTATGTGGACCTCGTCGCCACCGCTGGCTTCCCTTCGGAATTCTGGTCCGGGGAGTAGCGCAATCGGTAGTTTCTGGTTTCCTCGGAAGTGGGGGGGGAACAAAGGTGCGCCTCTTGGCGCCCTGGGGCCCAAAAGGTGCACGAAAGGTGCACGCCCCCCCCCACCCCTTTCATTGCCCCCTCAATAAGTTAATTCCAAATGTGACCGTCATAAAGATTTGTTTTTGTTTTCTGTCGACGCAGGCCAGTTCATTTGCATGGCATTTCCTCCCGCTCCTTCCGCCGTCGCCTTTTCCAGCAGCGCTAGGCCGAACAGGCGTACAAGTAATGTTTGACTTGCGTGAAGTCCATATCTCCTCTCAGCACTCACCATGCCCCCTTACCCCCCCACTCCATCCATGCAAAACAACTTGCCAGGATCTAAGAAGAGCTGCCTCGAAACGACCCTGTATGAGAAATTGGTCCTGGTCCAGGACCCGTTTCATTCAGAACCCGTTTCGTTGATAGCAATTGGACCCGGCCAGCATGAAGTGTTGGGTTGCAGTTGCAAGTTGCAGTTCGCGCTTCGATGACTCATGGGACGACGGATTCGAAAATCACAAATGTTAGCGAGCGTGGATCCCAAACAACGCTTTCTTGCGGCTAGGCGTTGCATTCTAGGTGGTCAATCAACGTGATGCAATCTGAGTAAGTAGTGCAATCCATGTGGTGCGGTCTATGTGGTCAAAGCACTGCGAAACAACGGGCAATGCGGTTTCTGCCGCTGCTGTCATTGGGGGTGGAGTTCAGCTCCGCCCCCAGAAAAGACCCTGCGAAGTACCCAAATCCATCGGCACCAAGGGATGATATATGGTGTGCCGACAATAATGTAACGGTGCACGGCGGATATCGATGTAAGGGGAAGTGTGCGTGGCCCACTCGCAGAACAGAGTTACACACGGCCAGGAGGAATTGTATCGGGAAGGAGAAGCAAAAGGAAGACATCGGGGTGGAAGAACGATCACCTCGGCATCAGGAGTAAGATGATGGCTTGGAGTTTTTGGGATCCGCGTAGGACCCCACTGTGCTGGCCCCCCCAGCAGCCATCGAAAGTGGAGACAGCTTCGCAGCGCTCCAGGGATGGCGAGGTCCCGTTTGGGTATGCGTGGGGCCCCATTGTATTGACCTCCCCAGCAGCCTTCGGAATTGGCGACAGTTTCACACGTCGCAGCCCCCCAGGGATGGCGAGGTCTCGTTTGGGTGTGCGTGGGACCCCACTGTGCTGGTACCCCCAGCAGCCCTCGGAAGTGGAAGCAGTTTCACACGCCCCAGACCCCCAAGCACGGCGAGGTTCTATTTGGGTGTGCGTGGGACCCCACTGTGCTGGCCCCCAAGCAGCGCCTCGGCCAGGCGGTCGCCTACGCCCTGCCAGGGTCCGAGGAGGGTCCTTGCCAGGCACGGTGGTGGTGTAACGTCCAGCACTTGTTCAAAAAAATATGACCCCCCTGGGGCCCTCGCAAACGAAGCAGTATGCCTTCTGCTGTGCTTTTAACTGTCACCCCACATGGTTTTGCTTTTAAGCAGAAGGTCCTACCTGTCTGGAAACAACAAGCGCCTGCGTAACCTTGGCATGCTTTTGGGCTCACGGCCAGGAGTGCCCGCGTACGGCGTCGCCCTGGAGGAGCCGCGGGAGCCCGAGCCCGTCCCGCCAGCGAAGGCGAAGAAGGCCAGATCATTGAGTGCCTCGGCGCGCGGCGGGGCGCGGCTGGACGAGCAGGACCCGCGGGATCGACCGACACGGGACTCCCGAAATGGGTACGGAAAGAAGTGTGTACGATGCCCGAAAGCAAGTTGCGTCCAGAACCGACAGCGGCCGCTGTTGGCCAGGCGAGCTCCTGCCTCGAGTGAACAGCAACCGACGCAACGACGACAGCGAATCCAGTTCAGAATGGACAGCAACTGATGTTGGGATGTGTACCCATGATTTCCGTGCCCATTTCGGTCCACACGGGAGAGCGTCGGTCCAGCCACCAGGAAGGGCGGGCAGGTTCGAGGTTCTAGGTTGGAGAAGGTTTTTACCTAACAGCGAAGACTGATAGGTTTCTAGTGGTATAAAAAGAGAGCAGCACATTACTCCACAGGGGGGTCTGGGCAGCCGTTGGGGGGCCGTTGGGGTTTGCCGGGGGGGATCGTTTTTCGCATACAGTCACACACTTCGTGCTCTTCGACCTCCCAGAACTCCATTCCCGGGCCACATTCTGAATGCCCGGAGCCAACTGTAGGCCACTTCGTGCTCTTCGAGTTCCCAGAACTCCATTCCCGGGCCACATTTTGAATGCCCGGAGCCAACTGTAGGCCACTTCGTGGTCTTCGAGTTCCCAGAACTCCATTCCTGGGCATGATTTTGAATGCCCGGAGCCAACTGTAGGCCACTTCGTGGTGTTCGAGTTCCCAGAACTCCATTCCTGGGCATGATTTTGAATGCCCGGAGCCAACTGTAGGCCATTTCGTGTTCTTCGAGTTCCCAGAACTCCATTCCCGGGCCACACTTTGAATGCTGAGGCAGGCTGATGCTGAGGCTGAGGCAGGCTGAGGCTGAAGGCAGACTGAAGCTGAGGACGAGGCTGAAGGCAGACTGAGGCTGAGGCTGAAGCAGGCTGAGGCTGAGGCTGAGGCAGGCTGAGGCTGAGGCTGAGGCAGGCTGATGCTGAGGCAGGCTGAGGCTGAGGCTGAGGCTGCAGGCTGAGGCTGAGGCTGAGGCTGAGGCTGCTGAGGCAGGCTGAGGCTGAGGCTGAGGCTGAGGCTGCTGAGGCTGAGGCTGAGGCTGAGGCTGAGGCTGAGGCCGAGGCTGAAGGCAGACTGAGGCTGAGGCTGAAGCAGGCTGAGGCTGAGGCTGAGGCAGGCTGAGGCTGAGGCTGAGGCAGGCTGATGCTGAGGCAGGCTGAGGCTGAGGCTGAGGCTGATGCAGGCTGAGGCTGAGGCAGGCTGAGGCTGAGGCCGAGGCTGAAGGCAGACTGAGGCTGAGGCTGAAGCAGGCTGAGGCTGAGGCTGAGGCAGGCTGAGGCTGAGGCTGAGGCAGGCTGATGCTGAGGCAGGCTGAGGCTGAGGCTGAGGCTGATGCAGGCTGAGGCTGAGGCAGGCTGAGGCTGAGGCCGAGGCTGAAGGCAGACTGAGGCTGAGGCTGAAGCAGGCTGAGGCTGAGGCTGAGGCAGGCTGAGGCTGAGGCTGAGGCAGGCTGATGCTGAGGCAGGCTGAGGCTGAGGCTGAGGCTGATGCAGGCTGAGGCTGAGGCAGGCTGAGGCTGAGGCCGAGGCTGAAGGCTGAGAGGCTGAGGCTGAGGCTGAGGCTGAGGCAGGCTGAGGCTGAGGCAGGCTGAGGCTGAGGCCGAGGCTGAGGCTGAGGCTGAAGCAGGCTGAGGCTGAGGCTGAGGCAGGCTGAGGCTGAGGCTGAGGCTGAGGCAGGCTGATGCTGAGGCAGGCTGTGGCTGAGGCTGAGGCTGATGCAGGCTGAGGGTGAGGCAGGCTGAGGCTGAGGCCGAGGCCGACGGCAGACTGAGGCTGAGGCTGAAGCAGGCTGAGGCTGAGGCAGAGGCAGGCTGAGGCTGAGGCTGAGGCAGGCTGATACTGAGGCAGGCTGAGGCTGAGGCTGAGGCTGATGCAGGGTGAGGCTGAGGTAGGCTGAGGCCGAGGCTGAAGGCAGACTGATGTTGAGGCTGAAGCAGGCTGAGGGCGAGGCTGAGGCTGAGGCTGAGGCTGATGCAGGCTGAGGGTGAGGCTGAGGCAGGCTGAGGCCGAGGCTGAAGGCAGACTGATGTTGAGGCTGAAGCAGGCTGAGGGCGAGGCTGAGGCAGGCTGAGGCTGAGGCAGCCAGGCTGAGGCTGAGGCAGGCTGAGGCTGAGGCTGTGACTGCGACTGCTGTTGCCACTGCGACTGCCATCGCGAATGCGACCACGACTGCGAGAACAGCAGAATTCTACAACAGGATTCTTATCTGAATCTTAAGGGGAATGCTTCCAGATATGCTCCTACACATCGCTGTTAGCTTGCTTTGCCGGGATAATGTTGCCTTTTCTGGCCTCCAGGGGGCCGTTTTCGGGCCCTGGCACCGTGCAGAAAAACGCATCTGGGGGGAAAATGCACCAGATGGATCCCAGGAGGTGTCGGGGGACCGACTTTGAGAGCGGATTTGTCCTCATCCCCCCTGCGTGACCGATTTTCTGGGGTCATAACCAGTTCAGACCCCCTGGCCGCCTCCGACATCGGTGGGCGTTTTGGGGGACAAGCAAGCCTTCTTCGGAGGGGTGCCTCATGTTTGAATTCTAGACGATTCGTGTAGCCCCACCAGCCCATCCAGAGACGATGCCCACGCGAGTTGCCCTGATCAAGGATGTGGAGGAGAATGCAGTGGATGCGCTCTCCCAAGAGGGAGAGGATGGAGGAGAAATCGAGGAGGAGGAGGAGGGGGACTGGGAGGGCGGAGGGACGAGGACGAGGAGGGCGGAGGGCGGAGATAAGGAAGAATAAGAGGAGGAGGAGGAGGAGGAGGAGAGGGAAGATGAGGCGGGCGAGCAAAAAGGCCAGAGGCCTCTTGGATGCCCCTCGGAGTCCCTTTGAGAGTCTCCGGGGAGCTCCTTGGAGCCCCTTTAGGACCGCTTGGCGGTCCCGGGAGCCTCATGGAGCGTCTTGGGTGCTTGGAGGAGCCTCTTGAGGGTCTCTTCGGGGCATCTTGGGGACCTTTTGGGCGCCTCTTGGACTCTCCTGGGCGCCTCTTGGTGCCCTCTTGGGTCACTGCTGGGAGCCTTGAAGGCCATCTTGGAGGACTTCGATCAAAGAAAGATGGGGTCCTAAATTTGCCCCGCCCCCCCCCCCAGAGGAGGCCAACATGGGCCCAAAATTTGTATATTCATTGTTTGGTGCCTTGAACGATGCCTTCTTTAACTCTCCAGTGGGTCGCAGAGCGCCCCGTCCAGGTCCAGGAGAGGGAATAGGAAGAGGGGTCAAACTACCCTCCCCGCCCGCAAGCCACTTCGCCCACTCCCACCATCCCTCCCGGCACATAAGTAGCACTCGAGCCTCAGCATGTTCAGCCGAAGTCCTTGGATGGGCAGAAAGAAAGCAGACCCCATGTGCGCGACGCTGGGGCGAGGTGCGCCACGCGTACCAGGCGCGCCAAGCGCGCCATGCGCGCCAGGCGCCCCCTGGCCAGGCACGCTTGATGCGCCAGATGCTCCATGTGTGCCGTATGCTCCAGCCGTGCCAGGTGCGCCACGTTCGGGGCACGCGCAGAGTGTCCTCGGTGCGCCCGCGCACGTGACAGCACACATCGGGCAACACGTCGACGCGGGGTGGCCATCGTGGTGTCTGGTGGGCCTGCGCACAGGAGGCAACATGCCAGCACCCCCGCCGTCCCTATCAAAAACCAGTGGACAGTGATCGCGGGGTGGCCCCGCACGATCCAGATTTTGCTGCGAAGTGCATTTTGTATTGTCTGTTGAAAGGGAGGGTGGCCCCGTGCACAGCAGGCAAGATGCTGGCACCCCTGACGTCCTTGTCAACAGAAGATGAGACAAAGTGTTCGCGGGGCCCACGAGCATGCTCCACCGTATGCTGTTTGTTGACATGGATGGTGGGGGGCTGCCCGCATGGGCGCCCGCATGGGTTGGGGTAGGTAACAGCCTTAATGATATAATGATATAGCCCTTCACGAAGGGTAACAGGGAATATGGAAGAGGACACGCTGTAAACCACTTCCCAGATGGTTGATGAGATTATTGTACTGTTTCACCTCAGCTTGTCAATGCTGACGATCGCACGCCCCCGCATGCTCTTGTTACTTCCGAGCCCGAGTTGGCACGATGTGGCTGCATCTCGATATCATGTGTGATTTTTCTGGACGTGGAGTTTCCACGCGGTGTTCGCATTGCGTTCTCCTACTGAGATCGGCGGGGTGGATCGTAAGTACTTCGGGGGGGTCTATGTAGATAGCAACCCGCATGTAGGTAGGATAGATCCGACTTGTGAGTGGCCTATGTCCCCTTATCTACTTACTACCCAACCCTAAGTGGATAGGGTAGATACTAAGTGGGGCCGCACGGGACCTTGGACTTAGGTCCACTTAGTAAGTAGGTTAGGCTAAGTGGGCTAACCACTTAGGGGACTTAGGCTAAGTAGGTTAGCGGGGATAGCTAAGTAGGTTAGCGGGGTAGCTAAGTAGGTTAGTCAGGGTATCTTGTACTCCCCCCAGCCGATCTTAGAACCCCCCAAACCCTCTTATTCCTTCCCTCCCCCCTCTCTTATCCCCCTCCCCTCTCTCATCATCCCTCCTCATCCTCGTTATTATGCGCCTGAGGGGGGCTTATGCTGTTCTTGGGCCGTCGTCACCCACAGGGGCCGAAGAGTACGATGAGAAGGAGGAGGAGGAGGAGGATAACATAGCCGTTCTGGCTCAAGTTTCGAGGCTTGGCAACTCCAGCGCCCTTCGCTTTTCGCAACCTCGTGGTGGCCATGGCGATGGTGACGGCCATCGAGGAGGCCATCAACGAGGTGAAGCCGATCATCATGGAGGTGATCGCCCAGCACGAAGCTTCGGGCGACGACGAGGGCACGAAGCAGATCATGGTGGCGGCCGAAGGCATTATCAAACTCTTGGTGGGGAAGAAGCTCGCGACGGAGAAGGTGTGGATCAAGATCCTCCAGGTGGGCACACATCAGGAGAACAGGTTCGGAGTAGGTCTGGAGGTCACCGACGTACACGACTTCCTGGAGGTGATCATCTTTGGCGGTTTCGGGTACGATAAATGCGTTGGGGCGGTCTGCTTCGAGATGGCGCCGTCGGGCAAGGCTCGGGAGGCTCAGTGGGCCTTTAACGAGCCGCTCACTTCTTCGAGCTCTGGGTACCTGCCAGCGTTCGAGCCCCCCGACCTGAAGTACCTCTCAGTGACGTGCTCGCACACCGTGGCAGGTGCGAGGTGCGTGGCGCCATCGGCGAAGGGCACCATGGATCAGATCTTGGACGACCGTGGCAACATCGCTCGCGAGAAGGTGATGTCGATTTGTTCCTCATACGAGCAGCCCCTCGTGCACGGGATGCCGTGGACCGTGATTTGCCGCGAGGTGGACGCGGCCATTCCAGAGTTGGCGTCGTTTTTGCAGGAAGCCGACAACGCCGACCACGGCGCAAACAGACAGCAGAGCAAGATGCAGACACTCCTGCAGATCCATAGGATGTCGAACCAACACCAGAAAACCTTCGGCGAGGTCAGGTGGCACAACTCCGAGCGCCAGATCGAGAGGATTCGGCCGCATCTCAAAGGACAGGTGGCTGACTTATGCTCCTTCGTGGAGTTGTACTCAGGAGGTGTTGACGGCTGCCTGCTGAGCGAGCTCCACGCATTCGCCCAGACGGTGGGCGATTGCAGGAGGGACGTCCACGGCTCCACCTTCGGCATGCTCGCGAAGCTCAAGTACATGGCAGGCCCCGGGTACATGACCGCCTGCATCAAGGCGCGCCTCTGCGCTCCTGCCTCGCAATGCCGCGACGGCGTCGCGAGGATGCTCAGCAGCGCGGACCTGGCCGTGACCAAGGGCTCCAAGAAGGCGGACGTCGCGGCGTTCCTGGCCACCACGGCGGCTGCCAAGAGCTTCCTCAAGACGCTCACGAGCGTGCCTGCGGCGGCGAGGGCAAATGTGCTGGGCCACATGCAGGTGAGGTGCATCCACATGGTCCACAATAAGCAGGCGAAGGGCCAGAAGAAGTACCAGAACGTCGGAGGGATAAAGGACACGTTCCTCGACGAGGTCGAGGCCTTGTGCGCTGGGGCCACGGCGGAGGGTCCCTGGGCGAGGTCGGGGGCGCCAGGGGCCAGCGGGTCGACTTCTTCGCCGCCAGCGCGCGGGCGTGGCCTGGTCCAGTTCAGCGCGACGTCCAGCGGCATGGTGCTCTCCGATGCTGCGCTGCGCGACCTAGGCTTCAAGACGGGCGCCGTCGCGTGCAAGGCCTCGGCGGATGCGGACAAGAGCAAGAGCGTCATCTTCGACATCGCGGATGGCAAGGTGACCCTGCAACCGTGCGAGGCCGAGAAGGCAAAGGGCAAGAAGCGCAAGGCCGATGACGACGAGAGCACCGTGGAGACGGACAACAAGGTCGCCATCGCCAGCAGCGAGCTGGCCGACGAGTACGAGGCTGGGATAGGGAGTGGTGCTAATATGTATGCGAGTTTATTTATATGTAATATTATGTATATGAATATATACATGTAAACATATATACATATATTTGTGTATATTTATATACATGCGCGCTCTCTCATAAAGCTTGTTTTCATCCCTCCTCCGTCTTTCCCCATCCTCCCTCGCCCCTCCACGTGTCCTGTCCTTCTGCTCCGCATTCCGCCTCCTCCTCGCCCTCGCCCATCCGCAGGTTGCGCCTGCGAACGCGGTGGTTCGGGTCCCGATCAACAAGAACGCGACTAACACCTGCAACCTCAAGGACTGCCAGCTCGAGAGGCTCAGGTCACAGGCCCCCAGCTTCCCGTGGAGGGGGAGGAGGGGGAGACAGCAGGAGGAAGAGGAGGAGGGAGAGGGGGGATCAGGATGATGAGGAGGATAAGGATCAGCAGGAGCATGACAAACTTTTTTTTTTGAGGAAAAAAAAGCAGTTAAAACATAAACCCCAACAACGGAAAAACAAACATTAAAACGACAGAGAGAAACCGACGCCCGAAATCCAGAATCCAAAAACCGCCCCCCCCCCCCCCCCCCCCCCCCCCAAAGAAAAGCCAACTAAAAACACAGCTTTGTGTACTGATGCGCGTTGTTTTTCCCTCGGCCCTTCCAGCCAGGTGCGGCTGGCGCTGCTCGAGGCCTACGACTCGAACTTTGAGAGCGTTGACGTCACGATCGCCTTGCATGACAGGAAGAACCGCCCGGTTGAGAGCAACCTGCAGCACCCCAAAGGCAAGCTTCTTCTGATTCCTTTTGAGCACGGGCATGAATGTAGGGAGCAAGCTGTCAAATGGCGCTATCGAGGTTCCGATCAAGCCGCCCCTTAAGGACGCCGGGCGTCCCATCGCCCCTCGTTGCGAGCTGCCAGAGCAGAAGCAGCCCACAGCTACTCACTTTGTGGTTCACCACTGGTGCGCGCAGGCGCCGTCGCAGGGTCAGATTGCGAACGTGGTTCGCACGTTTGTCAAAGTAGCCGTAGCCATCGAGATCGGATCCAAATCTGTAGACGTCACGCTGGACATCCCAGCCACGACGAACTCTAGAGTTGTCAAGGCGGGCGATGTGCTTGCAGCTGCTGCGCCAGCGCAGCAGGCATCTCCCAATAAGGCTTAAGTGTATGTTTGTTTCCTCTGCAGGGCATGTGGGGCGCAAGTAGATGCAGCGCTCTCAACTTGGATAAGATGAGGGGATGACGGATGAGCGATGAGGAAGAGGCTGAGGAGGATGAGGTTGAGGATGGGGGAGACGAGGGAGAGGAGGCAGAGGAGGGAGAGGAGGCGCAGGAGGACGACGACTAACTCTTGGAGAGCGTGCCATGCGAGCATGGCAGTCTAGCATCAAGATGCGCGAGCTCCGCTGCAGATTCGAGCTGCTGGTTGTCCCACCTTCCATAATTCGCAAGTGTTTTTTATTTTTAAAAAAAATCGGCAGCGGTTTCCGTGCCAAGTGTAACAAGCCCAGCACGGGCACTGATCGACCTCTCGAGAAAACAAAGCTCTTGTGCGAGGCACTCGGTAGCGATCAAGACGCCCAGAGTGCGTTCGGGCACGTTCTGACCGATAAGTCGAGGCGAATGCGGCCGTGGCGACCCACAGAAATATAACTGGCGAATGCGGCCGCGGCGATTCGGAACGCAACAAACACAAAGCAAACCTAACAACAGCACAACTCAAACCCTCAAAAAGGCCGGAGAAAACCGACATCCCAAATCCAAAAACACAGAAGCCGACCCCCAGAAAAGCATGGTAAAATAGCAGTCATCCGAAAAGGTTAGAGAGAGAGAGAGAGAGAGAGAGAGAGAGAGAGAGAGAGAGAGAGAACGAGAGAGAACGAGAGCGAGAGGGAAAACAGTAAACTAAAAAACGCAAGCGCTGAAGGAGGATGTTGATGAGGACTCAACCTCAAAACAAACAACATCAACATGGTCATGTCTGCTATCACCAGCAATCATTCCACCATAACCTGATAGCTATAGCCGTTTTGGCTCAAGCATCGAGCAGTCCTTCGCCCCTTCTTCGCCCCGTGCAGGCTCCGACGATGCCTGCGGTCATCAAGACTTCGATGGCATGCATCGCCTCTTCGGATGAGCGGTGCAACGCGACGGCAGGCTGGGTCGCGGAGATCACCGAGCTCGACGGCCACCAGTTCGTCACCACGGACAAGCAGGACACCAAGTTCATGAAGTACGTCAGCCACAAGCTCGACATGTTGGCCTTCTTGACCACAGAGCGTAACAGTGCAGTGGACGCTCTCATGGAGGAGGCCGCCAGGGCCGAGCGAGCGGCTGCGGCTGGCCCAGCAGTGGACCGCGAGGAGGACGGAGAGGCAGTGCCCAAGAGGTCTCGCAGGGATGCCTTCGACAGCATCCCGAGCAGCGTCCAGGTCAAGGTCCGAGTGCGCGGTGTGGAGCACACGGTCAGAGTCTCTACGTCCGCGACCCATCGCGCGAAGTTGGCGATCGAGCTCACCAGCGAGGCCCTCTCCCTCCTGTTGGAGGAGCCTGACGTCGCGGTGGAGCCCGAGCCCGACCCCGAGATCGACATCGAGCACATCGAGTGGGTCCGCTGCAAGAGAGCGGTGAGGACGAACTACTACAATGCTGTGAAGCAGACGTGGCGCACCAAGTCGATGGCTGTGGGGGCTGGCCCCAACTTGGCGGAGAGGGCAGTGAGCATGGCCAAGGTGCTGGTCGCCTTTAGGGGGCAGCATCACACGGAGCCCGAGGAGTGATTGTGACGCAGCGGCGATTTCTAGTTTTACTTTCGTTCGACCTCCTAGCGCTATCTGCATTTGACGGGGGCATGCTGCAGTCGCGCTGTGGCGCACATATGGGTTTAGCCAGATGCGCGCAGTGCTCTTGGGGGCGGACCCTCTTCTCACGCATCGGCCGTCTCTCAGATCTAGTTCGGTTGCTGGCCAGTTGTGCAAGACAACTCTAGTAGCAATGCTACATGTACTCAGCCCGCGGCATAGTGCCACACCCAGCGAGAGGACAATGCATCACCATCACATCAGCATCACAAGATGGCAAACACAAAATATGGTTATATGGGCTCATGTGATCACGATTATTGGCGCTCGTGGCTGCCCGTTCCGCGTTCGAGCGGCGCGCTTGGTCTTGGCCTTCAGCGGAGCGATTTCCCCCTGGGCAGTCCATTCCAGCCGGGCCAACTTGCTGGGGGGAGTTGGGGCAATTTGTAGGACAACAAATTGCCTCGCATGTGCGACAGTCACACACTTTCCTCCTCACCAGCAGTTGGCCCAGCGGGAGTGAACTGCCCAGGGGCAGTTCGATCCCAGAGGTCGACCTGGCCAGGGCCAGTCCGGAGCCGGCTTCTGTTTATGGTGAGATCTCCCTCCCAGAACCTTCAGGGCCGCTAGAGTGCTCGCGTGACCCTAAATCGTTCGACCTGTGTGCGTTTTCGGGGGCTCTTGGAGGCATCCCTCATCGGCACGCTGGACCTGGTCAGCGGCATGAGGAGGGGCATCAGCGACAGGGGCGAGGGGAGTGGGGAGGGAGGGAGATGGAGGAGGAAGGGATGAGGAAGGGCAGGAGGAGGAGAGAAGAGGAGGGAGGAGGGCAGAGGAGGGGGGAGGAGGAGGAGAGGGTGCCTGTTGCTGGTGTATCCCCCCAAAGACCTCAGAGACCCATGCTAGCTCCAAAACCCAATCGAGAAATCGCTCGAGCTCAGACTCGGACGAAGAGGCGAGGCCTTTAGCTCGCCTATTCTGGTCCCTCATGCCTCCTTCCTCCTCCCTCCTTCATCCGCCTCCTCCGTAGCCATTTGGGCTCAAGTAGCTCGGTTATCTTTTTCTGTGCCTTCACGTGCTGACACATCCAAGTCTTTCTCTTCACACCAGCATGGGCGAATCCACCTTCCATGCTCAGCGCCTGATCGGGATGCTGCGCGAGCGCGTCCAGTTCGTGAACGCCCAGGCCCATGCGGGTCTGGATCGCAATCTCCTGGCACAGGCGCAGGTCAACGCCCTGTGCGCGACCTTCTCGGTGGCCCCTGGGATCGACCTCGCCGTTGCCACGGCTGTCACTGAGGAGATCTCGAACGGGCCTTGGACGCAGCAGCAGAAGATCTCCATGGCCACGGCGCTGAACCAGCGGGCCGAGGCAGCTTCGGACGTCGGTCGCGCTGGTGGCGGCACGGGGCGCCCCTGGCAGAAGTGCCATCGGCTGCAGCACTTCTTCACGGCCACGGACTGGGAGGGGATCGCCAGCCAGGACCACTCCGAGGTCATGAAGATCCAGACCGTGGCCAGCAGGATGCACAAGCTGGGCATCTCCTGCGCCAGCTTGAAGCTGCTCATGAGGGCCGTCGCTATCGTCATCTCCTGCCACCAGTCGTTCAGGCAGACGCCGCCGTCCGCGCTGGCCAAGAGGACCATGTGCCAAGACCTCCAGACGCGGCTGAGGCACCTCGACACCGCGAAGCCCTGGCCCTACACGCACGTCGAGGTCTCCCCAGCTACGCCAGACCAGCTCGGCTCGGACATGATCTACAACCACGCCTACGGCGACGAGCGCCCCGTCGCGCCCCCTTCCGAGCTCGACAACCTGGAGGTGGATGTGCAGGCGATGTGCTACAGGCGCTCGAGCAGGAAGCTCGGTGGTGGTGCCTCGGCTGGCGGTGCCTCGGCTGGCCAGCACGGCCCTGCGCCTCTGGCCGTGCCAACGGGTCCGCAGCGCGACCCGCTCCAGATCCTCATGATGCTCGCGGCCCAGGCGTGCGGCCAGGTGGGCGCCCCAGGCATGCCCAACATGTTCGGCGCTGGCGGGGTGGGCGGCGGTGTGGGCTGCACCATCACGTACAACAACAGGCCGCAGAGCGCAGTTGCGCCGCGCCCGAACACCATGGCGTTCGGCAGCGCTGGCGTTTCTGGAGGGTCGCCGCCAAACGACTCCCCTCCTCCGATGGCGTCGGGGACGCCGACGCCTCCGTCGACTCCGACGGCTGCGACGAGTCCAGAGCAGGCAGCGCACGTCTTCGGCGCTGCTGGCAGTGACGAGGTCGAGGCTTTCGAGGCGGAGATCGCGGCCGCTGCGCCGTCGGCCAAGCCGAAAGGCAAGGGCAAGGCGAAGGGCAAGGCAAAGGGCAAGGCCAAGGCCAAGGCCAAGGCCAAGGCGAAAGCCACGGCCAAGGCCAAGCCCCTGCCCAAGCCCGTCAGCCACACGATCGACAACTCGAACTGGTTGAAGCCTGCCGACGCCAAGACCCGCAGCGAGAACTCCTTCACGAGCCGCGCGCACGATGCGGCAAAGAGGATGGCGGTCGCAGCTGGGAAGAGCGATGCCGATAGCAAGGCGATCGCCAAGGAGGCGTACCACAAGGCCAAGCTGGTGCACCACAAGCACGGGAAGAAGTAGGGCCCCCATTGCGCTCGGGCACTCTCGCACGTTTAAAGTCTGTCTGCTCCCCTCGCTCTGTCGGATCAGCTCCGAGAAACGGCACCATGAGGGTTAGGTGTTAGGGCTGGTAGGTGGAGCCGCAGGTTTACGGACACACAGCTAGGTGCAGCATCTGTACGCTTTTGGTTGCTAAAGATACGTAGGGACTCGTAAGAGGTGAGCGCAGACCTCTCCGAGAAAGCGAGCGATGATGAAGCATCGTCGCCGCCATCATCACCACCGCCATCACCATCACCAGTAGAATGTAGCAGTACGCGCTCATCATCATAAAACTGCTCATCACCGCCACCGCCATCATAGCAAAACAAATGAAGACCAGCGTGCATGACCTGGGGCGCGTTCCGACCACAGAGAGGACGTCGTGGCGAATGCGGCCGTGGCGACGAGACTCACAGAGAGAAAGCACAACACATCCAACAACGACGAAAGCCAAAACCTTCAAAAAGGCCGGGGAACACAAACGCCCAAAATCCAGAATCCAAAAACCGACCCCCCAGAAAAGCCGGCTAAAATCACAGGCCTCCACCCTCCTCCCATTTTCCTCCGCGGCTGTTTTTGCTCGGGCCGATTCGACAGGGTTGGATATGAGCGAGCGCAAGCGAGCTCGATTGTTAGACCTCGGGCGGGACCACCACATCAGCCATGCTGCCCTGGAGGGCCTCCTGAAGCAGCTGTCCGATGCGGACCTGCCAGA